AAGAAAACGAATACGAAACTGTTCTTGCTTAGGTAAGCCGACTTATATAGGGGAGTAGCATTCCTCAGTTATGTTATTTGACAGTTTGTCATGTGGTTGTATCAACATGTTTAAGAGGGTATTTGTTGTTTTTTGGTACCTAGAGACTAGGAATTGAATCTTAAACTTATGGTTAAGATTATAAGTAATTCTATCATCAGACCATATGGCAGACAGTAACGAGGGTATTTGTTACTTGGTGATTTGTGTTTGGTATTCCGTATCATTGTAGACGTAAGTTTGGTTGATTTTACTATTCCAATTTGCATGTCGGGCAATTTTTCAGTCAAGTATCCAAAGGGAGAATTAATTTAATGAGGTTGAATTTTATTTTCTGCTTTGACGGCTTGATATTAAGTTGGCAAGAAATTTGAGGATGCTGGAAACATGGTTCACACAATTATATCCAGATTCAGTCTCATCTACTGGTAATCATGCATGATTGGGTGTGAATTGATATGCATGAAAGAATCATGTATGAAAAGAAAAAAAATTTGTAATTCTCAATCATTTGCTTTTAAAAAGCATTAGATCAAATTACATCCAAAAGTTAAATGGGAAACTGCAGGGAGTGGAAGCTCATCCATTGATACCAAATATCACTTAAAGAATCATCTATAAGGAAAGGAGTGTGCTTTAAGTATGCAAATGTACATCTCCAATATGCAAAGTGGCTCAATCTGTTTCGTCTTGTGTAGCCCATTATCACACACAGTAAACCTCCCAGGGATCCATGTATCACAAAAGAAAAGGGAATTACCTGAGGCACCAAAATCTGCCGTGCATGTGAAAGCTAAAATTTATATTTAAAATTATGGTTTGCTTTGTGTATAAAAGAAGAAAAAATATAGCAAACCCATCAAAATGGACAGACCATATCCTAATTAAAAACAAAATACATCAGAACCCAATTGATAATCATAAAGTAATATTTGTCTTCTAAATACTCTCTCCATCTTTAAAATATCATAAACAACAGAATTTAATTTTGGGCACTAAGCAATGTGGCAACTCTGTAAAGTTCATATCCAACTTATGACTTATGAGTGTATCATTCAGACCTTATAGGAATTAAGAAAGCAACCTCTCAGTATATATAGTTCCATATGTATAAGAAGTGTGCTTTTATCATACAAGTATATATAAGAAAGCAACATTTCTTTTGCTGAAGCATATTCTCTCTTTAATACTATAAAACAACCCATAAATTTAAAGTCTTTGCATGAATTTAATAATACATATTACAAGTTACACATGAGTTCGAGAAATAGAAAAGATCTGTCTTTTTTTCCTTTTCTTTTTTTTTTTTTTTGTAGAACAAAGGGATCAATTTTAGTTAGTGAGGTAAAATTCTGGCCACCAAGCAATGTGACAACTTCACAGCCAACTTATGCCGTACGCCCGTACACCATTCAGACCTGCAAAAAACTAAAGCAAGCAGCCTCAATATACCTCCATGCATGTTTGCAAGAGATGTACCTTTATCAAACAAGTGTAGAGAGATGATGGAAGCATAAGACCAACTCACCATCAAATTTTCACCTGGAAAGGACATGAACCGCAATTTCTTTGATCTCAATTTTCAGAATCACCTTGACTCTGCAGACATAGCAACAACACAATTCTGACAGTGAAAGGAAAATAGCAAAAATTTTCCTTTTTAAAATCATGATCATGATCTATTAAGCATTCATACATACCCTTCTAGTTTTCCCTATTATTTTGAAGACTCTATATGAAGATTTGTGTAAAAAAGGAAAAGAGAAATAGATAGAACTTAAAAAATGAAAAACTTAAGGAGATCTTTCGAATTAATGCATACCTTTCACATGAACTGTATTTGTACGGTCGAGTTTAGGTTGCCATCCCAAAAGCCTTCGTCTTCATCTCTAGTCAATTTTACTTTTTGTAGTTTTGGCGTTCTTATTTCATCCCTAGAGAAAGTATGCATACTTGGACAATCCATCAAAATCACCTCTTCCAAAAATGGGAACTCAAACTTGCATTTAACCGAGAAAAAGCTTGAAAGTCTAGGCAGACAACAAAGTTGCAAATACTTGAGTTTGCTAAAGACAATCTCATCCTTCACATCATCCTCCAAGCATGTGACGGTTTCCAACAAAGGTAGCGGAGTGGCCTTTTGAACTTGTGATTGGCAAACACCAGGTTCATGAGACTCAAGTACCTCTTCAAGTGAATCACAGTTCGATATTTGGAGCTTGTCTAGTCTTTGAAGCCTTTCCAACATACTAAATGGGAAAATATTCAATAACTTTTCACATGAAACCACACTCACCAAAGTTATTTGGCAAAAAGAATCTACTTCGAGCTGGTCGTTCCATATCTTATTCAAACTCTTCACATGTTCAATTACCAGACGCTCTAATTTGGGAAATGCCACCTAAAGATTTACACAATTCAATTAAAATTAAACATAATTATAGATGTAATGGAATGAAAATATTGGAATCTAATTTTTTTCAAATGTAAAACTTTAAGAAAATAATAATAGCATTATAAGATATTTAAAAGCAAAAAATAAAGGGAAAAAAATAAAGGAGAAATCACCTTTGCATCGAAGAGGGAAAGTGTACATGTGTTTTTGACATTTTCAGTACTAGCTATCATGTCTCCAAAAAAGAAGCTAGAGATGAAAGTCTTCAGCACAGGGCACTGGCTTATCTTAAGTTTCCAAAGGCATGGTAATTCCAAGTAATTTCCAGAACAAAATCTTGTGAGTTTTGGAAGGTCTTGGAGCAGTAGGAACTCCAGGTTAGGGAAGAAAATCTTGCACATCCTTTCCTCATCCATTGATTCTTCTGCAAATATTACCTCTTCCATCATATTACAATCACAAATCTTGAGCCAATTCAGTTGCTCAAAACTCTTAACCATGGAGGATGTCAATAGATATTCCAAATTACCACAACCCTCCACACACAACTTTCTTAAATTTTGGACATAAGAAGAGATTTCAAGAATCGAGTTGTCCAAAATTCGTTGAATGTTATTTGAAGACAAACTCAAAAACACCAAGTTAGGAGTCTCTACCTGCAAAGATTCTTGGTTAGTCTATTAATATAAGATAGTAGGAAGATGACTATCATATTTGCTTAATTTTAGCTGAAGACAATTTCAAAAACTCCAAGTTGAGAAAACTCAACCTAATAGAAACTTTGAAAATGGTTTTTTTTTTTATTAAACTAAAAACATTAGAAGGATAATCCAAAAGCAAGAACATGAAAATGACGTGCAATTATGTGAAGTAAATTGATATTTTGAGTAGAAAATAGTCAACTCTTTTTAGACTTAAACATTATTTGGGCCAATGCAGGGCGAAAAAGAAAAAAAATATTATTTGGATCAATAATCCTATTTTTAATCTTGAGTAACTTCACATTTTAAGTGGTGATGTATCAGCCAAGAGTCTTTATTTTCTAATAGTATATTAAGTGAAACTTATTTGAGGAGATTCATTCATGTGGTTAAAGAGGTAGCTAGAGATGGAAACACCGACATGTGAAAAGCAATAAACATAAATATGCCATAAAATCTTAATTACAAAAAATAAATATAAAAATAAACCATGTTGCTGTAAAAAAAAAAAGGGAAAAGAAGACAAGAAACTAACCTTGCTGCTAAAGAGATATTGGGATTCCTCTTTGTTGTGTTCTTTGGAGAATGTAGACGCAACAAATGTGACCATTTTTGGGCAGTCTTTTACAACAAAATCAATTGAAGATGGAAGCTCAAGACTATGACTTCCCACATAGAAACTTGTCAAATCTGAGCAAGACTCTAGATTGATCAACCAAAGATGTGGGAATTCCATTTTATTTTTTGCTCCTTCTCCCATTATCACTTGTTCCATTGTTCCACAATTTTTTACTATTAACTGCATGAGTTGCACGAGGCCCAAGGCCATTGAATGTGTTAATAGGTACTTGAACTTGCTACACTTACAAATTTCCAGCACCTGAAGTTGTCTAAAATCTAAGAGTCCTTGAGGATTCTTGATATGCCATGTTTCTAACAACTTGGGAAAACTTGACAGCATCAAAAGTTGTAACCCAGCAAATCCAACCTACGCAAGTGCAAAAAAAAGAAAAGAAAGGTAATTATATATAATTTTTTATAAAAAGAATGAGTGGCTTCAAAAATATCTAGAAATCAATTCATACCTCGTCCATATACATTCTTTGTATGGTGGTATTAAGGTCACCTTCCCAACGCCACTTGTCCTCTCCTTCAATTAATTCTACTCTCCGTAGTAGTGGTGTGTTTAGGTCACCCTCATTGAAGATCATCAATTTGGGGCACTGAATCACAATTAACTTTTTCAAAGATGGAAACTTGAAGGTGAAATTCCCTAAACAAAAGCTTTCTAATCTTGGCAAGAATATAAGTTTCAAAAATCTTAATTTAGTAAAAGTGATCATGTTTAAATCTTGGGTTCCATTTCCTTCATTTCCAACTATTTCAGTCAGCATGTAGCACCATGACACAATCAGTCTTTCTAACCGCACCAAACTTCGAGCTATTGAGATGGAAACCAAGTTTACCATTGCTCCACACCCGCTTATATTCAAAGTTACAAGATTTTGGAAAAAGGCAGGTGATGTTGACAAGCTAATCAAACTGTCACACCAAAACACTTGAAGAGTTCCAAGATTTTGAGGAACAATTGACGAGTCACAACTCCATATACATCTGAGATATGGAAGGCTAACTAGATTTAATCTTTTAATCCTTGAGAGTGTCTCAATTTCAATGTGTTTCTCTTGTTCTTCAACTTCTCCTTTTGAAGGGAACCATTCTTCAAAATTACAAGACTCCACGACAAGCTCTTCTAAATGGCAGAATCTTTGTAGTAATCTGACAGGTAAAACATCTGATTCATTATCAAGATAGCCACAAATTCTAAGAGCTTTGACATTGAAAAAGAGGTCTTCTTTAAATTGGTGTTCACATATCATTGTAATGTCATGTCTTGATAGTGACAATTCTTCCAACTGAGGGATGACCTGAAAAGGAATCCAATGCAATAAAATTTGTAAGTCGTATTTTTTTTTTTAATGAGATCTTAATTTTGTTTATGAAAAGGAGAAAACTATTAAAAAATATTGTACATTATTTCACA